TTGGGTAGGAGACGTTAATTTCCCACACACGAGATTACTGTGTGATGGATGTCCTCCCCTGGGGTGGGATGGGTGGGTTTATTGGGCCCGCAGTAATTGGCGCAAACTGTTGCGGTGTTCCTGCCGGTTGGCGAAGCTAAATAAATCAAATCAAATCAGTTCACCGCAGTGTCACTGACCAAAAATTTTTAATTGAGTCTTCTTTGCCTTCACAGCTGATGGTTTTCTTCGCACAGTGTGGTTTGTATGAGGAAACAACTTCAAAAGGGACAGCGGTATTACCTCCGCACATAATGAGACCTCATAGTGTTTAAGAATACACAGTTTGTGTTTTTAAAACTATGACAAAAAAATATGACAACGGGATTCTCTTTGTTAATAAGGCCGTCTTATGCGGTTTAACATTCAGATTGTGTTTTTAATTCACAACTTTAAATGGGACAAAGGGGGTTGCCTCTACACATAGTGACACCTCGTGCAGTTTAATACACATTTTGTGTTTTTATTTCACCGAGCAAATCCTTCCTCAAGGTGAACTGAACTTGAATCTCCGCGTTTTGGTGTACAGTCCAACGTTGCATACTCTACATAGAAGTGCATAAGGATAACAGACAGAATTTCATACCGGAGATCGAATTTGTTAGAGAAGGATGTTTATTCCTCTTGACACGAAAGAAAAATCCTCAGTTCCCATGAGGAATTGAATTTCTTCGTTCAGCTGGATCAGAGAGCTCTAGAATTCTCCAAATCTCCCAGCAGCCTTTTCTAACTGTTGAGAGCATGTTTGATTTTCCACTCAAGGTGTGAAAAGGGGATTTGGAGATTTTAAAATTTAGCTTATTCTATTCAACTAAAATCAGGGCCTCGTGTGCCAAAGAATTTAGTGAGAAATGACTGACTGACTTCAACTTGAATTGTTGAATTTTATCAGTGAGACTTTAATATTCCATTATCTACTTAATAGTTGTCTTTGCATGAACTGTTTATAGAGCTAAACGCGAAGGTCACCGTCTAAGTAGCTTGATCTGATCTAATTCTTATGGGGAATGTTTTCCTAACCCGGCAATGCGCATGCGAACCTTGGGTGTAGATATTTTGAGAATTTCGAATTTAATCTTGCCTTGAAAGGGGGTCATGTAAGTTGACAAATGCATTTTCTGTCTAATTTACGGCATTAGGTCGTATCCTTAAAAAATAATTCTGTATTTTATCATATAGTTGAATTCTCAGAATACATTTGAAGGTGTCAGATAGCTGACCGATGATTTAAATAACTTAATCAATAAACGTCCAATGTTTTTCCCTTCAATGAAAGATATCATAGCTCATAGCTAGTAGCTAGAGATGACATTTTTTTTGGCAGAGCCGACATGTTTCTTTGTCGAATGCTATTGTTGGGGTTTTTAATTGGCCTGACTCCGCATAAAGTTCAAAAGCTTTTCAATTATTTTTAATTTACTGACCAGTAGAAACTTCTCAATGATTTACTCAGTCTGACACAGTGTATGAACACACAAAAAGAGATTGTGTATGATCAGGAAGCTTTCAACATAAACTGCTGTTCTAGTGATTTCACACATAATGTTCAAGTTGCCAGCGTTCTTTACCATTCACCTCTCTTGCCTATGATTCACCGCACCAAGTTTTCTTTCAGTGCACTTTTCAAAGAAAACTTGTTGGTATTAAGTAAAACACGACAATAAAACTTCTTCTTAGACCCTCTACAACTTCTATTTTAAGTTTTCTTGTGAAGTGGTCTATATGCTAGAAAATTTCGTCAGTTTTTCCCCGACAAATCTCTCTCAAAACTTGGTATTTCAATTTTTGGATAGATAGAATTTTTAGGGAAAGAGGCTTGTCGTATTCTTTCCTCCACAGTGTCGGGGAAACCTAAGCATAATTCTACTAACAGTTTTCATATATTTGAGATCGTAAGATATAAAGGTCAAGTCTGGATGATGGCAACTCCCAGCTGTCCGGCTGTTAAAACTGTTTCCTTATTTGGTGATTTTCTTACGCTTTCGTAAATTTGTTTGTAGCGAAAGTGCGATAAGTATTCGGTTGTATTGCTGTGGTCCGATATGAAACGCTGCCTAAATTGGAAGCGGTAACTCTAATCTATGGTCCGCCAGTCGGCACTTTACATTTCACCTGTTGAATGATAATTTCAGTAACAAAGACCGTTTACATTTCAGTCGTAACAAAGCGTTAAATTTGCACTAAAGCATTCTTCACACTTTATCAATCACGTCGCCAGCTTGAAAAGACAATTGTTCAAGACTAATGACGGAGCGCCTGCATGGCAAAAATGTCCTTAAAATGTGATAAAATGTTTTTAGAGAGGAATACCCAAAGATATGAAATGCTCATTGATTTAAACGCCGCTCTTTGTTTCATCGCGTGTTATGAGTAAATGTTTAAGTCCCAAGCAAGTGTCTTGAACTAGATAACTTCTTGAAAATATGAATTATGACAATATCAAATCAAACGAAAGGAAGGAGTCGTTTGTGAGATTCTGTTTCTTTCGTTCTCGATAACGCAGTCATTGCTTTTTGTTCGTTACTACGAACCTCGAAGTCCAATTGGTCAGATTATTCAAAACATCCACCAGTCACTTCTTTGATATGATTGGTGAAGGCGGAGACCATAATTTATTCCACTTGGCGAGACAGGTGAATTTCGGATTACAAAAGAAAAATTAAAATCAACGACAGACGCCAGTTACGATCAAACTTCCCAAATCGTACAACATGGAAGAATTCAAGGCCAAAACAAGTCGATACAGACATGAGATTGATCAGGCCGAGGAACGCGAAAAATCCGCCATCAAAAAACTAGCGTTCGCAAATCACGATGCCGACGAGAAGGAAAAGGAACGGGATGCGCTCAAGAGGAGAAAACGGCTGCTGGAACAAAAATTGGATGCAGTGGAAGATCGAATTTTCGACAAGGACAAATTCTATCGCGAAGAGCTTGCGAGGAAAGAGAGAGAAGATCGACAGCGAAAGATACTGGATGAATTGGAAGAGGAGGACGAACGAAAATTTGAGAAGCTAGAAGCGGAAATTAGGCGATATGAAAAAGCAGCCGATTACAGCGAGCATAAGTGTGCCGAGTGTCGGCGAAGGCTGCAGACTGTTACTCGTGAAACCGAACGCTTCAAAATGCGTTTGCGAGTTGCCGTCGGAAAAGGAAGAGAGTTGGAGGAGCAGAACAAATTCGTGGGAAGACATTTACGAAAATTGGAAATTTCCGAAGAAAAACGGGGCGATCGCGAGGAAGCTTTTGAGAATAAAATTCGCGAGCTCTGGCAGTTGAGGAGAGACCAGGAAATGCGTTTCGAGACGGCGGAAAGGACGATTGGAAGACTAGAGAGGGAAAAAAGCGCGTTGAAGGAAAAGCTTTACGAGGAAAATCAGAAGCTCAACGACGTGAAATCTATGATGGACGAGACCATGAACGGTTTAGGCCGTTTCTGAGGTATCCGACGAATTATTTATCATATAAACTAGATAGCCAGAAAGTCAATAATGAACACTATCTGTCGTTTAGAGCCAAAGATTCACGACTTTAGCAGCATTCGCACATCAAATTATCTTGAAACTGAAAATGTTGGGTAGGAATATGTTCACAGAAATTGAAATAAAGCGAAATTTAAATGTTATTTGCTGCTTTCTTTATAAGAAAATAAATCAAGGAGAGCAAACATACGCGTGTTTTGTATGGAAATTCTCCACGCCCTATTGTCGATCGCATTAACTTTTACCGTCTCTGGGGATAGTGGGCGCATGAATGTTTCGACGTTTTCTGATAACTTTGAATTAATACCCAGCTCAGCTTAGAAATAATAAGAACATCTTTAAGTTCTACGGCGAAGTGAAAATAAAAATCCATATTTTTGAGTTTCAGCAAACAATGACTTGCCACAGGCCTTTTGTTTGCATTACTAAAGAAATGCAAATCTGTTCAGTTCATCGACACACGTGCCTTCCTTGGAAGTAAAAGTCTATTGTTGGCTGACGTCACAAGTTGAATTCTACATATGATTTACCGCAAATTGCTGGAGCATTCTGAAAACATATGTAGCCAGGTAATTTAACGATTAGAGAAACAATGCAGGCTGGGCATTATCATTTTTTTCGTAAAACACTCAGATGCGTTACAAAAGAAATGTAGAAGAAAAAATTATGGATATTGATTTTTGCAGTTCAGGTGGGATGGTGCCAAACTAGTATTTTGGAAGCACTGGTTAAATCCACTTCAAAGCCTAATTTTTTTTCAAACCTATTCTTCAATCTGTGTTGATTTTTATTGCAATCACCTGAGAGAATCAGTACGTAACAGTTAAAAATATATTAATGTCATTGAAGTAGATTTTGTGGTTGTGTCGACCAGTATCCGGCCTTGTTTTATTTACATCTTAATTTTTATTTGAAGGTCGCACTCTCGGAATATACAACGCTTTTATATCCTAAAAGAAGGTCTCAATGGAGTCAATCTTTAGCTTTAAAATGGCAAAAATGTTTAGCTGTTACGCATAAAAAATTTAAACATTTTAACACTAAGTCGTAAAAAAAAGGTTAAGCGTAAAATATTAAGTTTTCTTTTAATCGCAACAGAAAGAGATTTTAAAAGCGTTAGGTATAAAAAGGCCAAGATTTGACACCATTTGCGTGAACAAAGAAATCAGATTTGATCATCTGGAGGTAAATCCCTGGGAACAAAAAGCCTTTTGGATTATCACTGTCTTAGTTAATAAAGAGTTTTCTTACATTGAACCTTGTTCTGTTCTTTTCCCTTTAGTGCGCATGTTATTTTCATGTTGTCCAATGGTCTGTTAAGTTGTGAACAACTCGGAATATCAAAATAAACTATATGTCTTTCTCCTAGCTATCTGGCAGTATGCTATTTCGCTATCAACACCAACAGCTTAGTATGTGTATGTTTCTAAATCGTTATTCTAAAACCTTACTGCCAGTAAGAACATGCGTCACGGAAAAAAAATTGATATTTCACATGACTCAACCGGGAACGCGCCTACTAAAGTTTAGATAAAATATGAATGAGATGCTTAGTCGACTAAAACTGCTTTAAGATTCATTTGGTTTTTCGCCAGCGTCTAGTGTTCATTTTCTGTCAAATCGTCAAAATTCAAAGCTGTATTTAAGCCGTGCACATGTTTGTGTAATGTCTTGTTTAAGGTTATTGAGCCAACATTTAATGTTAACCGAGCAATTTAGTCAACAAGACAAGGGGTAATACACTAGAATTAGTTTGATAATTCGGAAAATGCTTACAGTAAAATCTGTCAATTGAAAAAAGGGAAAAAAGTTGTTTTGCTTACTGAATTCCGACATCATAATCAAGCTTGGCAAGTATTTTTCAGTTCATTTTTTTTAGGTCCTACTTACATCTTGTATTGTTTTAACACTTTGCAGCTGAGAGATGACACTTTTCAAACATTGTAGTGTCTGATTGTAATATAAGAATAAAATGGGCTCATTGAACTTTGTAGCAAACTTTCCCGGAAATTCATTTTGCATTCAACCCTTAGTTAAGCTAACGACGACCACCAATCATTTCACTCCCTGCATGGCACGTGACTTTGATTGACATTTAAACAACAAAGGATTTTCCTTTCCAAGCAGAGCACAATTTTCTGTCAATCTTTGTGTTTGAGACGTTTTACTGCAATTGCCAAGGAAAAACACTCGACATTCAAAATGGTTTTTGGAGTAATTGGATTTGGTCTGACATCAACAGCATTGTTGATTACATTTGGCAAATATTTTGCCAAGGACTGGTTTGGTTATTTCATGTTCGGGCTGATATTGTTCGAAGTGTTAATGTTTACACTGACGAAAGGAAAGACCATTGCACCAGAAAGGCCTCCAACAAGAACAGAGAAGACTTCTTCAAACAGACCGGCGTCCCCTCCTGCCTCACCCAAGGCTGCCTCCTCGGCGAAAGCTTCTAATCAGTCGCCCAAAAACCAGGGCAGCAACAAGCAAGAGAAGGCAGCGGAGAAAACAGCGAGGAAAGCTCAAGCGAAGGAGGCTAAGGCCGAAGCAAAGGCGGCAGCTGCTGCTAAATAGTTGGGTTCATTATTTCATTTTTTTTTTCTTTTTCCAAGAACCAGTGGTGAAGATATTGGCTTTGGCATCTATTTGATTGAAGGCATCCCTCGAGATGTGCATAGCTGGTTGTTGGCAAAGAAAACAAATTTATATCGGCATAAGTACGTTGACTTTTCCAATTGCCAACTGAAGAGACTCCTTTGGAATACCATGATTTATTTACAAAGTGTTTATTGAATATATATGCGGATCTTTTCTAGAGTTCTCTCTTTTTTCCAACTTTTTTATTCAAAAGATATTATACTATGTGTTTAGAGCTTGAGTTTTGTGGAGATTTTTGTAGGCAAGACCTATTTCTTTGTTCATAGAGTAATTATCTAATTTCTTTATATGGCCGTACACTCTTAGCGACTTAGCGCAATAACTTTGTTAAGTATTAATTATTTAAGGGAAAACGTTATTTTTGAGGTGTTTTTAAAAGAGATAAAGAAAATTCACGTAGTTCTTGTTTTTGATCATTGCGGCTTAGATTTCATCGAGCTTTTTTGAGTCTTGAAAGTAATGGATCTCAATTATGTCAACTATTGGATTAATATATTTCGCGAAACAGGAGTGTTGGGAGCTGTATTGCACCTTCTACTTGTAAATAGAAAAATGTCGCAGTAGGACAAGAGAGGGACTCATAGACTAACCAAGGTTTTTCTCATAAGCAAACAAAGTTCTGCAAACTTTAGGTTTTGACACAAAGATCCATGCGGGATAACTATCTACTGTCTGTTTGTAGGTGGGGAATTTGCCAACCCTTTGAAAAAAGTTCAAGACATATTTGCTTGCAACAAGCCATGTTTTGCATATGGAACTGCTAAATACTAAGATGCGGGTGGCTGAATTGTATGATAGGATCAGAATTAGTTGAATTGACAAGTTGTCATCGGCCAGCAGGTGCAGTAATACACTCGTAAGATCTATTTTCAACATACTCAAAATCTCTGAGGAAAGACAGTCCCTTTTCAGTAATGGTACATAACGCAATTAGGATTAAAAAAAAAAAGGTCAAAAGCACAGTTAAAATCTTGTACTTTTGTGGGAATCGGAGATGAAGTCAGGGATACTCTCATATCTTTTAAATAAGTTTCCGATGAAGTAGGTTAAGGGAAAAGTCATTCTCATTTGTGGCTGGATTGAAGTTTCTCATTAAAAGCTCCTCCTATTTTTTGATAATGGGCTTTAGAAGCTAACAGCAGCCAATTTATACGAGATCGAGGATTTATTAATTGTAGGTAAATTTATCGCAAGTTGTGGATGTCCAGTTTTACTAAACTAGGTCTCGCTAAATGAAATTTGTTTAAAAAAAAGTGAAAAGTTAAGGAAATTATCGGAGGACCCAGAATTCTCTTTTAAAAAGAGAGAACCTAATTGAATCACAGTAAAAAAAAAAAAAAAAGCCACATTCATTTTTAATCAATATATTGCTTTCAAATCGCCTATTAATTCCTTTCCAAGCCTGACACTAGTATGAAATGTATTTTCACAAAACCTTACTTCTAAGAATCTATTCTGTTTCGGAACAGAAAATATTGAACCTGGCGTTCTCATTTTTGGTTTTGATCCATAAAAATTGGTCTTGTACTAAAAATCTGCAATTTTTCAAGCCAAACGTTGTATCAGAATGCAACGGATTTTAATTAGAGAAAAAATAATACTACGCAGCCACATTAGGAATTGCTAATTATTTTTCCAAAAAAAATCGCAGGTGTTATTAAAATATTCTTCAGGTACTTCCCGGGATCCTGGACAGAGCTCAAGTTCTTGAGAAACACAATACTTGTAGGTAACAAGAGCTATAGTTGGAACACAAAACAAACGTTATGCTGGTTGATGAACGCACTGCGATATCAATACTTCTCATCGAGTAATTCGTTTGAATTTACCGACGTAATCTGTTGTAGTTACATCGTATATTTTATCTTTCAAAGACGATACGACGCTAACAGAGACCTCAACCTCAGGAATTAACGTTCACATCTGTAGAGTTAAAGGGATAAATTTAAATTTCTTGCTTTTTCGGCGGAGTTAACAAACATGGTGTCACTATTTAGCCTGGTTGCTATATTCTTCTGTGCGATAATCACGGCCCTTTTATGGTCTTATGGCTTGGAGATTTTCACCAAATGCATAAAGTTCATCTTGGTTACCATATTTAAAGTCATTAAACTTATTTTGTTGGGGAGAAAGAAGAACACTGAACAAACTGCACCTGAGGCCGACAATATTAAAGAAAAGACAAATTGACGACTGGCAATAACGCTAATCTAACACTTCACTGCGCCGGTTACGAAGATGTTTATGCCAGTTCAGTTATGGATATCTACGAAGGGAAGTGAAAGGGAATTGAAATCGGCAAAACGTATAATGTCAGTAAAGTCACTTTGTCCTCTTTGCAATGCTTGATTTATCATTTTGTTTATCTTTTTCGAAGGGACCTGATGGGGTACTGTATATATAATTGTGTTCTTTGCCTCCTGTGGTAATAAAGATTTATATATGGGCGTGGTTATTTTCAGCAGGTGTTTTCTAGTTTATCAATTTGATTTAACTCGTTACCTGCTCGCTTAAAACTGTGTGAACATTGTAAGGAGAAGCTACCTTTGGATCAGCTATTGGGAATCGAAAGATGATTATCAAGGTCTTACAGAATTCAAAACATGCAATCAGCTTTTAGTCCAAACGGATACTTGTGCACCAAAAGATATACTGATTCACTTCATTTTTCTTTTCTTTTTATTTTGTTAGGCTTCGAATAACATCATGGCCATATTTTTGTTTCATTAGGACTGGGATACATTTCTGCATTTTTATTCAAATTGTTTAAATCTTCCGCACGGTAGATCTTGACAATAAAATTTGGATGGAAAAAAAAAAAAGAATTTTCATGTATACTGCCTTCTTGCGCGGGGTTTGCTGTTCCTCTGCTCCCCTATGGTCTTTTTGTAGGCCATAATTTACTCAACTCTCGCCGAGTTTTCTTCTTTGGTCCGAGGTACATCGTACCGAAAAAATTAAAGGGAGTAGTTAGGATGGCGTTAGGGCCCAGGGCTGTATTTCCCCCCTTTCCCTCCCCACCCTCCCCTCCCTCCCCTCCTCTTTGTGGAGAAAAGCATATGATTTGCACTAATGGTGATGATGGAACACCCTGATATTCCCTGAGGTTAGAAAGAAAAAGGAGCCGTGAATGGGTTATGCTTCTGCCAGATAACATCTTGATCATAAACCCGATGACAAGTCACGCTTGGGGGTCACTCTTTTTGGATAAATATTATATCGATAATAAAACAACGTGTCATGCCCCCAAATACCGATGACAAGCTGTAGTTCGTAGAATCCCTGTGTAAAACACTCCCTACACCTTGCCAATGCATGTAAATCTAACTGTAACATCAATCAATCAACCATTACTTTATTTACCCACGTAGCGTCAAGGAGCTCGTAGAGCTCGTTCAAAATACGTACGTGCACTTCCATATTACCTGTAGAACAGATAAACAAGAGCCGTAAATATTTCTAACCTCGCTCTTAAAAATAATTTACGCCAGTAGAAAAAAACTCTTTAAGAGAAACCGTTTAATGGCGCTGGCGATTTTGGAAATGTAATATTTCTTTTCAGTTGACGAAGAAAAAAAAATGTGAAAATGATACCAACTTACGTAGCTATTTCTCATATTCACATCGTCACCACATTCTGTTTTGACCGTTTTTTATCATTTACCTGAAAGACTAACATCCTTTTACTTTTATTATACTGTAAAACTGAGCAATGAGTCGGAATATTTTTCCTACCATCACGTGTTGACGGCTGTTTTGTGTGCCTCAAGAGATGATTAAAGCTGTGCTTATAAAACATAATAAAGAGATTGCTTTTAGATATAATCGAGCAACTCGCATCGACGCGCATGCAGTGTTCTGATTGCGTGCCCCTTTTAAGGTCCATTTGCCAGTCAACACCGTTGCTTATCAAAATTTTTCCTAATCCGATATTTTATGGGGGGCGAAGGTTTCCTGTAGGTGGACAGTAGCCAGCGAAAGTCTAGATGCGCTCCTACACACAAACACACACACACATACCCGAAAAACAATTAAAAAATGAAATAAGATAAATAAAATTTAAAAGAATTAAATAAATACAAAAAAATTAAAAGTACTTTCTCTTACCGATCGCAACACTTTTGGCTACAACTGCGAAAATTTTGACATTTCAAATAATTATCAGCATGTACCATTTGCATTAGCATTGTAATTAAGCATTTCATAAAACAACGAAGACCTTTGGTGGTCAATGTTGTAACTGAACAAATCTATTCTAACAAGAAAATTAATGAGCTTTTTTATTTTACTTTATGCTTGTTTTTTTCAATTCGTAAAATCGCAATAACAAGGGCAAAATAATTTAATAGGACTCCTGAGTCTTGGATTCACAGCAGATTCGGTTCTATTGAATGATACTGGACTATCCCCAAATTCTTTCTGAGTCTCAAGTTGTTGGCACTGGAAACATCAGTTCACGGTATTGTTTACTGACGTAAATAATAAATGCGCGTCAAAACAAAAAAAGTGTAACTGGTGGTCTTTTGTTCTTAACTTGCAAATATGTAGGAGATCGTGACCTGGCCGAGTGTTTTTACAAAACATGTTATGCTCATTTGCACGTTCAACAAACCTCGATTCGCCTTAGAACGTGGCCAACGGCTCAAGTTTTGTTCTGGGTTTTTCGCTGTGATCGGTTAACATATCAAGGTTGGGGATGGCCGGACCACCGGTGATCGAAGGATCTTTGAAAAACACAATTCATGCACTTGCATTTGGTCTAATTTGCGCAACGCTAGCTGTAAATTTTGGAAAAATTTTCGTCCCTCATTTTTTCCCATACATGGTGGGAATCATCATCCTGATCGAGGCAGTATTGTTTGCGCTGGATAAACCGAAAGATAATTACGAGAAGTTCCGAGTCCATGGAATTAAAGGAACCCACAGAATTGAAGGATCGCCTCAGATAACAGTGTCTGGGCCGAGCGAAGATCCCGAAGCTACACCCACTAAGAAGGGGAAGATGAAAGACAAGTTGAAGAAGGGAAGGCGAGAGAGCGGTGTTCCTGGATCACCAAGGCACAGTCTAGTTCCTCCTCCGAGTCTTGGGCAGGAAGCAGTGGATGGAAAAGAGACAGGGAAGGATAAAGTCAAAGAAAAGTCTGATAAGGAAAAGAAGAAGGAAGAAGAAAAAGAAAAGAAGAGAGAGAAGGAAGAAGAGAAGGAAAGGCTCAAAGCTGAGAAGAAAGAGGAGAAGGAAAAAGGTGTTGATGGTGATGAAGAAAAAGGAAGCTCTTGGAGAAAAAGGCGTGCCAAGACTAATAAACAGAACTCTGTATAATTACCTATCAGGGAACGATCCTGAAATGACAAAGTAGCTTGCATTACCTTGCCAACAGATGCGGACATGACACGTAGTCTGACAATGAGTACTTCCCTATTAACAGGATAGCAATGTAGCAGCGAGCTGATCGAGTACCATTTTCAATGCACGCCTTAATGCAATTTTTGTGACTGTGCATAACTGAGATATTACTTACTTATACAACCAGCCAAGACATCAATTGGTGTAAAATTTTTGCAAACTGAAATTTCCAAAATTTGTCAGTTTAACTTTGTCATATCAAGCTATGTTTTGTTTTTCTGCATATTAATTAGCCATAAACAGTTCTGCCTGCCTCCCTTGACATCTATCAGTAACCCTGGCAACCTTGACAGTTATAGCCTGCTTTTTTACCAAACTGACATAATGACGTAAAGGAGTTGCTATTCTGAGTAAAAGAATGAGTGACCGTCTATATATTAAAGTAGGAAAAGAAATCCTGAATTTATCTATCAAATGAGTTTCTCGCGCTTTTGATATCGAGGGGTCATAAGCATAGGAAGGGAAAAGATTTCATGCTTTTAGCTCAAGGTTCTTTTATAAAATATCAGCCTAGTTTAATAGGATTCCTTTCTATGGTAAATGAATCTATTTTACTCAAACAATGAAGTCCATTGAAGCTTGTAAAAAAACATTTTTGGAAATCAGGGGCAAATAAAGAGGAGGAAACTTTTACAGAGGTAAAGATGTTGTCGTTCAATTGACTTGTGCGACCATTTCAGTAACATGTCATCAAGTGCTGAGATCCCATTTTACCGTGTGCGCGTGCGGACCAATGCGCGCCCGAACTTTTTTTTTTTCACTTCCTTTTCCAGAAAAGGACTGTGAACGAACAATAAAGAATGGAGGAGCATGGAGGAGAACAACATGGCGGAGAACGCTCTGGAGGGTTGCACAGCAATTATTTCCTTGTCTCTGGCGTCAGAACCAGACGATCATTAGTCGGCCTCATGAAGTATGAGAACCCGTCCTCGTCCGCTGAAAAAACAAAAGAACAACAACGAAAAAAAAAGAAATGTCAAACGTATTCGCATCACCTGTTTCTGGTAACAGATTCATGTAAACACCGTGTTAAGGTAAGGTAAACACCTAAAAAATTATTATGTCATTATTATTTTTTATTATCATTTCTTTTTTTCCTTCTCTTTCGTTTGGCAAGATCAGTAAGCTTACTCTTTAGTTAAAGCAGTTAATTTCTATTCAGTAAGTATCTCTAAGAGAGAAATTCAAATATCTCCTAGCGTGCAAAGCACCTTGGGATGTTGTTTTAAATGAAAAGGTTTGAAACTTTGGCAGGTTAGAACTGCAAAGGAAAAGGAAACTTTGAGCCACAGTGCGTACTCTAAAATGCAACGGTTCTCGAATAAACACGTCACATTTTACGTTGTACATTTTTTTTTTATAATTCGGCTCTATAAAAACGCTTTAAATGCAAAAGGAAAGCGAACTTTGGTATATAGTCGCGTTTCTGCTGATACTAATTGTGTCCCGAATCCTACGGCTAAATTAAAACTCTCTGTCCACATTTGAGCAGTCAAGCAATTTTGGGGGCATTTGACAACCCCCTTTGAATTTCTAGTTTAACACTACCCACCCCCCCACCCTCAGTCTTTTGTCATAAGAACTAGAGGAAGAAAACAATTAGTGATGGAAAAATGACTCTACCGGCTTAAATACATCTTTGAAATTAAACGACTTGAAAAGTATCTAAACTTGCCCAACGTGACCCCTAGAAATATCTCAACTTAGGTTTACATATAGCTCTCAAAAATGCTTCTAAAAAATGATAAAGAAAATGTTGCAGGTGTCCAGATATGTTAAAAAAGCCTGCCAACCTTAAAAGGAAATTATAGTTTAGCAAAAGTTTACTTCAGATTGGGGACCATGTCTATGAAAATCTAGTGGTTTGTTGATAACTGCATGCATGCAGGTAACTTATTTTTCAAAGCTAAATGCTAAAGGCTGTGGCTGATAAACAAGACACTGATCACAATATCTTGGGTGGCCTAGATTTGTTGAAGAGTTTTTTTTTATTTGATCATAAGGTTGTGTTTCTAATTATTTTTGGAAAGTGCACAGGGTTCATTGCCTTGCAGGGGTAATGAGAAAAGTCAATGAGAAGTAAGCTAGCATAATTTCCTCAACTGAATCTTGCATGATTTAAATGATGTGGTTCAAATTTACTTAATCAAAAAAGCTGTTTGATGGCAGTCTCAGCTCAGTGTTAATCATGGTGAAAATTTCGCTTGGACAAATAAAATAAGCTGCGGGAGTGAGGCCCACGAAAACCCGAGTTCCACACGGCGTGCAACTAATTATGGGAAGAAGTAACTACAAAGTCTCGCGATGCAAATTTACGTCAACCTCGTTGCCAAGGATTTATTCGCCGCGATTTGCACGTGAAATATTCATCTAATTTCCATATTACAGTTCCTCGTGGTGAAAAATTGTTTTTCGGCAGAAAGAAAGAACAAGAAAAACTGGCCAGTTAAAAAGATATTCCGTCTAAATGTGGCCGAAAGCGTTTAAAAGTCTTTGCTGCTTTTAGCTGGGGACGTGGCGTGGACCTACAGTTCTTCCCTTTCCAAAAAAGGAAACTAGGTAAGATAAACAGCGAATTTAACGGCTCAATTTGTTTAGTGCAGAGCGTTTCACGAAGTAGAGAGAATTCTAAAATAATTGTGAGCAATTTTTCGAACTTGTGTTCGCGACAGGCAGTTCCACATCTACATGTTCGTTAAACGACAAGTTATCTGAGAATATTTTCAAGGAAAAACTTATCGATAAACTCCATCAGTTAAACTAAACCGAGCAGCCGAACTTGAAAAAGTAATGTTTTAAAATTCCTAGTCTCGCCGAATTGAAGTCGAAGATATCTTGCATAGACGATGTTTTCAGGGAGAAAACGTCTTTAATGAGCGTTCTTCTAGTTTAACTTTCAATAAGCTGATTGAATTCTTTCACCCTTTAGACCGAAGAGTGATCAGCATTTCATTTCTCTTTACAGTAATACTGCTGAAACAGTCATTAAGATCACGAGAATAAAGAAAATGATCACCAACCTAAGAAGCTTTTAATTGATTGCTGGAGGAATTCTCCATCAGTGCCAAAAGAAATGTATATAGAAGATAATGGAAAATATGTATACTAATATTAGGGTGTAAAGAGGTTAAGAGAGTTTAAAATAGTCTCAGGAAATTAATAATAGCGTTGTATCTCCCTCGTAGATGGGGTAATATGGACGAGACATCGTAAATCAATCATGAGAGTGAACAGAAATGGAAGGAAAAATCAAGGAATTACGTAAAGGTAAGCTACAGAATTCCATTTTTTTTTTTTTTTTAAGGAAAAAGGTTTCTTATCTGCACATGTGACTGCCATTTTAAGAAGAATATAGCGACTGATTTGTGAACAAAACCATGTTGAGCAGTCAAGCCAAACATTTCGAGATAAGTACCGCGTTTGCTAGCGCTTGCCATTTAAAAGATTTCAAAGCATTCTCATCAGTGACAAGTGTTTAGCAGAAAAATGTTTTCGCAAGACGTGACAGCCTCCTCTAACAATTACTCAATTCTAAAGAATCGGAAGGAAAAACAAATCAATTTTACAAAGACTTTTCAAAAATGCTCCAAAATAGTCATAAGGCCCACTGACAAGCAAAGAAGCAAAAAAGGTAGAAATGTAAACATCTGTTAGTAAGGCAAGTACTCAATTGTTATTATCCAACTACACTCCAGAGAGAAAAATTAACGCCCAAGACGAGTAAAAATAGCACGCGGTTTTTGTACTCTAGAGAACCGGTTAGACATGTTTTCTCGCATCGCGCAAGCGACGAATTGGATTGAAGTTATAAAAAAAAAAATGGCGGATAATTTAAATTTTTCTGCCGACGAAGAGTCGGAATGGCTGCCGAATATTGATCCAAGTTCATTAGATAAATCGAACGAAGAAAAGTAGTCAGACGACAATGAAACTTCATTATTTATTGAAGAAAATAGAAACAGCAACACGACAACGCGCCAATTCCGTTCCGCATCGCCTACTTCTGTCACGCAATCACCTTAAATGTTCATCTCCGAAATTCGCCCGCACTGAAAGAACAATTTGGGGTGTTGGATAATAAATAACTTACATATTAGACGTTTTGGTATGTCGTATCGCTGAGTATTTTGACTCGCCTTACCGGCTCGTCAAAATACAGCGCAACTCGTAAAAACACTCAGCAATACCACACATCAAAACGTCCAATAAAATACATTCATTCAGACCCAGGTTAAAACTACAGGAAAAGATTAGTTGGCTAGTAATTATTTTTACAAGTATCGCAACTTGCGTTGAAATCACTCTTGATAAGTAAATCATTCATATGAATATACACGATATGCAAATCAAATTCCCGCGCAGTACACGACTTTCAGATAGGAACTCATGTCGCTCAGAAAGAATGATCGGAATGTTTACAAAACTTGAGCCCGCTTCGTAGAAAAATGGGTCTGTGTAGGTGTGTCCAGTACAAATTGAAATGAAGGTATCATTAAATAATTTCTTAAAAGCATGGCACGATTTCCGTACCGCGTCGTACTTCATTTGCTTGTGATTCGTTGATAAAGAAAAACGATTTCGAAAACAATAAATTTCCTTTGGGAAGCAGGCCTTGTTTTAGAATAGCTTTGGGTCATACGGAACTATTTCCTAAAGTGTTGCTTTTCATCTGAAACTTTCTGAATAAATCTGCGGATAAAAAAAATGCGGATTTTTTTTTTCAAAATGACCATCAAAGTTTTGAAATTATTTGCGAACGGGCAGGACATGCTGCAGGTGATTAAAGTGGCTGAACACAGTTTTTGATACCTGTGTTTCTTTCACCATTTTCTCTAACGCCCTTGATCTCTCGGTCGCCAAAACTGGCAGCAAGCAAGTTAACAACACAAACTTTGTTTTTTTGATAGTTAAGCTGACGTATGTGTCGTTGCTATGGGGACATGAAGAATATAAACAGGCCTTTAAAATCGGTTTTGTTTATTTGTAGAAAATCTAGTCGTTAGATATTCTTTATAATTTGCAATTGCGTGCAACGAGCTTGTAACGATACCCACAAGTTAACACCATTATGCTAACAATTCAACAGAGAGATCTTTAATTATCCCTTGTTGAAGGTTCACTCGATTATCTAGAATTTCCTTTGTTAAAAGTCAATTTTTTTCAATACTCCAGTTGCTTATTTCCTAAAGTATTTTCGTGCTAAATTTCATGAAATTCTAATGAGTGGTTCTCAAGAAATAGGCATATTTTCGAGAAAGCAATTTTCCATTCAATCGCAATTTTTTTACTTACTACGCATGCGCTGCATTTAACTGGGTTCTTTCGGTAACAATGAAAAAGCTGAGAATTGCTGGGTTCTTTGCACCGTTAACTTTCCTAACATGTTTTTTTAATAAAAGATTAAAGCCCTCAATACGTTGCGCCAGCTATAGAGAAAAATAGCACAGATAGTGCGGATATGTGTTGAGTAAATGAAATGACCGCTCTGTTGACGGTATGTATGTTTTTTTGCAATCCTTGTGCGCGCGCTGAATTGCATCAGCAAAAGCGCGCGCGAAAACTGTGTTCAACCACCTGAATTTCTTCTTATTGTTTCGGAAACCCAAGTACTTGTAAGGTGCTTCTTTCCAGGTGTCATAGTTT